GGAGGCTGTTTGCAGGAGGCAGCTGATTGATGTTTCTCTCTCATTGATGTTTCTAACTCTCTATTCCTCTCCCTTCCTCTCTATAAAAAATCAATCAATAAAATATTTTTTTAAAAATATTGCAGCCATATCCAGTGGGGATGGGAGGGTTCCCATTCATCCCCTCACCGCCTTCTCTCACCTTCTCCCCTGAGCCCTTCCTTTCTTCCTCTCATTTCTACTTGCTGGCATCTTTGGGGTCTTCCTTCTATACCATCCCCAAACTCACATTTCACTCTCATCTGTTTGTCTCACGGCCCCACAGGCGAGAACAATGGAGAAGCTTTAAGAAGCTGAAGGTGCCTGAGGAATAGCAGGTATCTACCTAGATTATCAGCCCAATCCTAACCACTCCCCTCCTCCCTGTGGCTCCGTGACTCTTCCTTCTGGGTTGCCACTCCCAGAGACGGCTCCGAATGAACACGGGTTGCTGGTTAGGGGCCAGGGGCCAGAAGCCAGGAGCCAGGAGCCAGGAGCTCCACGCCAAGAGAGGAGCTGGGAGCAGAGCCCAGCAACCCCGGGTTGGCCTGGGTCCCACCGCCCCTCCTCACCCCACTGGGCCTTGGAGCCTTCCTGGGGGCTGGTCAGGCAGGCCCCACTCTGCCAGCCTGGCCGTCTGAGGTGCTCCACACTCTGGCTGAGGCGGGAGGGGTCGGAATTTTGATTCTGTGATGAATAAGCACATTTAAATAGGACGAGTCTGGGAGACAAGACCCAGAGGAGCCATTTGGTTAAAATGACAAGTCTGGACTCTCACTTGAGCATGTCTCCTGTGTGAGAAGAAAGATTGATTCCTGGCTCTCTCCTCCCTCCCTCCTTCTGTCCCTCCCTCCCTCCCTCCCTCCCTCCCTCTCTCCCTCCCTCCTCCCTCCCTCTCTCCTTGAAATGCATTTAGGAACCTGCCAGTGAACCTAGGAATCAGAGATGCTGAGAGTGCGGTGGGATGAGGGTAGGAGGCCCCATATGTGGAATGAACAAAAATGATGGGGCTGCCACATTGCCATGGAAGAGTCTGTGTTGCGTGTATGTGACTTTTTGTTGGTGATGGTCTATTTTGCTCGTGTTTTTTCTGAACTCCATGCTACACACATCCTGGGAATTCTTCAGGACAGAGCCCCACCTCCTTCCTCTAGGCCTGCCTCCTTTGCCCTGGGCAGCTCTGCTCCTATTTTAGGGGTTACAGTTGCCTGTGGAGAGAATTCTGGGATGCCCGCTCAGTTCTCAGAAAAGCACGGATTCTTCTAGGCTGTTCACGGCCAGTCACTCCATCTAGTTCAGCCTAGCAGCTCCCCAGGCGTGGCCTGCCTGGGGCAAACCAGTGAGGAAGGAAGCAGGGGCCAGACCAGCAGGGTTTGAGCCCTGGCTCACCACCACAGCTGAGAGACCTTGGGCAGGCTGCCCCCCACGTTTGCTTGTCTGGGAGACGGGGTGATAGCCCCAAAGAGAGGCTCTGTGAAGAGAAGACAGGCTCACCAGCCAATGGACAGGGCGCCTGCTGCTTTTCCTCCCTTTTCCTTCCTGCAGAGTGAAGGGCGTCGGGTGGGCGTGGGGAAATGGCTTGGTCCGCTGTGCAGTCTGAACTCCACCGGAATCAGACTGCAAATCCTCAGCTGCAAGGGCGCCGGGAAGGTCACTTTCCTCCCCCTCTTCTTCCTGGAACACTTGAACTCTCAAACTCTACCTTCACGTCCTTCGAAAACAAAGGAGGGCTGAACACACAAACATGTAAGTGCCTAAATCATTTCCCTCCAAGGATTTGCTGCCTCCCCTCTTTCTTCAAAACTCCCTCTCTCATCCTTACAGCCTGGGAGACTAGGCGCAGGGCAGGAGCAGGGAGAGTATGAGGAACGAAGCATTTCGGGACCCAGGAGATAGACGGTGGGCACCGCGGAGAGAGGAGGGGTGCGGGGAAGGGATATGGGGATGGGAGCAGAAGTGGGGACTCCTGGGAGGTGCCTGCAGCTGGAGACCCTGGATCCAGGGTGAAGGGGAAGGGAGAAGGAGAGGACACAGGCCGGAAGGGCAATATCGCCTGGTAGTGGTGCCCTCCACCCAGTGAATGAGGAACCGAATCTCCAGAGAAGTGACAGAGAGAGCCCCATTGCCGGTCACGTATTCCCCACCCTTCCACCCCTCCCCCAACCTGGCCACATTCCCACTGGCTAGATGTCCCTCAGGCCAAGAAAAAAGGCATTAAGGAATCTACGGCCTCCTCCAACCCCCTTCAAAACCTCACCTCCACCCTCCAGCCCAGCCCAGGTCCTCGGGCAGGCGGCGGGCGGCCTGGCAGTGGTGCCTGGACTCACCTCCACTTGGCTGGCACTCGTTTCCCACCTACGTGTGAGACCAGCACGGGCCTGGACTGGGTGTCAGATGCTGAGATAAGGCCAAGGAGAGGAAAACCGCCAACGCCAGGAAGTTATACGTTCCCCTGGCAACCCAGCTACAGTCACCAAACAGTGCAAGGTCAGGGGTAGGGCAACTCCCATTCAAGGCCTCCGGCCAGGGCCCTCGGTTTTCATGTTGGAAAAGCTTCCCTCCAGCCTCCTCAGACAGTGCCTGGAAATTATGGGGGGGGGGGGGGGGGTTAAAGTGCCAACGTAAGGCACCACCCCCCAGGCCTCCATTGAAGATTCTCAGCCTGAATCTGCATTTTGTTAAAATATACTTTATTGATTTTTTACCGAGAGGAAGGGAGAGGGATTGAGAGTTAGAAACATCGATGAGAGAGAAACATCATTCAGCTGCCTCCTGCATACTGCCTTCTAGGGGATGTGCCAACAACCAAGGTACATGCCCTTGACTGGAATCCAACCTGGGACCCTTCAGTCTGCAGGCCAATGCTCTATCCACTGAGCCAAACCGGTCAGGGCTGAATCTGTATTTCTAACCAGCACCCCAAGCGGCTCAGTGCAGTCTGAGGACAGCACTTAGAGAGCAGAATACATTTCATCAAGTTGGGACTCTTGGTGGCAGGGCTGGGGGAAGATACAGGACAGACGGGGAAGCCCCAACACCCTGGTCCGCTAAGGTCTGCAGCCAGCCTCATCCCCAGGGGTGCTTGACTTCGGGTCTTTTCAATTTCCAGTGAGTAATAGGCATCCAGACACCCGGATTCTAGTAGACACAGAACCAATTCAAGAGCACAAACCTTGCTGGAGCTCCTTCTGAGCCAAGCGCTACTGCTCCGAGCCTCATGCAGACACACAGGTATGCTTTCTTTTGTAAAAAATACTTTTATTGATTTCAGAAAGGGAGGGAGAAGGAGAGAGAGAAAAACATCAATGATGAGAGAGAATCATGGATCAGCTGCCTCCTGCACGCCCCCTACTGGGGATTGAGCCTGCAACTCGGGCCTGTGCCCTGACCTGGAATTGTACCGTGACCTCCTGGTTCATAGGTCAATGTTCAACCACTGAGCCACACTGGCCGGGCTAGGTATGCTTTCTGCTCCCAAGAACCCTGGGACCTGGCACATCCCTTACAGCCTCTAGGTTTCCGTTTCTTCCTTCTCTCCAAAGAGTTACAAATACTGAAACCTCCCCAAGAGGTGACGAGGCCCCTGGGATTATTCCTATGGACTTCCCCCGAAAGAAAAGCTCTCGGAACTGTCCTGGTGCTTGTGGTGGTGGCGTTTATTGCTGGAGGGAGAAGTTGGGTTGTCAGGGAGCTCCAAAAGGTCAGGGAGCCTTGAGGACAGAAATCCTAAATTGTGGGATCCAAGGGGCTGGGCCTCGGGGTCTCTCCATCCAGTCCTTTCTGAAGCTGCCAGATCTTCATCTGCCTTAAAGGGGCGGCTCCTGCAAAACTGGACTTTCTGCACCTCTTCTCAGGCTCGCCCTCTTCTTCCTCACGGTGGCCCGACCTCCACCCACAGAAAAACTGCAGCTCATGCTGGCTGCCGACCAAACCCTTCCCCACGGTCAGCCCCCGCCCCGGGGAGCCCTGTGATAGGAAGAACCATTAGCTTGGACTTATTTCGCAAAGTTTAAATCCCAGGTCAGCCGCTGCCTGGGTTCTGCAAGTTCCTTTTGCTCCCTCAGCCTCCGTTTTCTCATCCGTAAAATGGGAGAGAATAATACCGGCGTGGCAAACGTAGGTTTACAGTCATGCGTACTCAAAACACAGGGTGTGCGCATTAATTATTGTTCTGTTTTCCACACAGACAACTGTAGACCTGCTCTTGCCCCCATGTTAGCCCCACTCTGTAATTTGGGGTGAACTCAAGCCCCTCCTCCTGATTTCCCATCCCAGCCACAGACAACACAATTTGCTTAGTTGCTGAAACCAGCAGCCTGTCTTTCTAGACCACATGTGTCAAACACAAGGCCCGCGGGCCAAATCCGTCCCGCCAGGCCTTGCAATGTGGCCCACACCGCGCTGTCATCACTGCACCCCACTGCGTTTCCATCACAATGACAGTTTATGACTGTTCAGTAAACCATTCGGCCCGCGATTTAGGCTGGATTTTAGATTTTGGCCCCTTCTCTGATTGAGTTCGACACCCCTATTCTAGACCCTTCTCCCCCATCTCCACGCTCCACAGCCGAGCAGAGAGCACTGCACCATCTTGAAATCCATCCCCCTGGCCCTCCCCTTAACCCAGGCCCCTCTCACCACAGCCTGGACAACGGCAATACCCTCCTCACGCCCGCATGCCTCACAGTCCTCCCTCCGCTAGACTGCTCTCTACCCTGCTGTCTAAGGAAACTTTCTAAATACAGCACAACTTTTTTTTTAATTATTATTATTATTGATTTTTTTTACAGAGAGGAAGGGAGAGGGATAGAGAGTTAGAAACATCGATGAGAGAGAAACATCCATCAGCTGCCTCCTGCACACCCCCTACTGAGGACGTGCCCACAACCAAGGTACATGCCCTTGACCGGAAACGAACCTGGGAACCTTAAGTCAGCAGGCCACAGCTCTATCCACTGAGCCAAACCGGTTTGGGCTAGAGCACAACTCTTATCTCTTCATTCCCCTGTGTAAACCCTCCCGTGGCTCCCCATGCCCAAATGAAGTGTCCAAAATTATTCCTCTGACTTTGAGGTTCCTTGGGCAGTCTGGCCCTGACTCCCCTTCTCCATTGCATTGCTCAGCACCTTGCACCTATAAACACAGACATTCTCAGGTCCAGCCAGCGCACATGCGCACACCAGCCCGCGACGCTCTCCTTCACGCTGCTCACCGTCCTTCACTCCTCAGCTCAGACATCGGCCGCTTCCAGAAGCCTTCCCTGCCCTCCCTCCTGTGCTCAGCACCTCAGTGTCCGACTCTCCTCACACCCCATATCACTGTGTGGCAACTGGCTCTTTGCTTCTCCAGCTCCTCCGGGGAGGGCAGCGACTGTGTGTGTCTTGTTTGCTGCTCTATCCCCCAGCACCCAGCAGAGGTCTTGCCATGAATAGGCGCTCAAGAAACATTTTTATTTTTTAAAATATATTTTATTGATTTTTTTACAAAAAAAAAAAAAAAAAAGGAAGAGAGAGGGTTAGAAACATTGATGAGAGAGGATCAGCTGCCTCTTGCACATCCCCTCTTGGGGATGTACCCCCAACCAAGGTACATGCCCTTGACTGGAATTGAACCTGGGACCTTTCAGTCCGCAGGCTGATGCTCTATCCACTGAGCCAAACCGGTTTCGGCAAGAAACATGTTTTGAAATAATGAAGGAAAAAACATAGCTAAAGCTCCCAGCACATGGACCAGCAGGAAAGTGGTCACGCATAGCATCAGCAGCATGGCTCGTTCCCACACTGAGCCACCTCTCTCCGGCGGAAACACAGTTCCAAAGTCAGGTCCTGCGACAGGGGACGAAAAGGTGTGACAGCCCTGGTGTGGACATGTTGGTACAACCCTCCGTTCCCCGTGCCCAGTGATGTGGATCTGTCCCTCCCTGGGCCTCAGGCCTCGGGGCCCACCCCCACCGCAGGCAGGAAAGAACTGTCCGCTCGCCCTCTCCTGACACGTGATCTCTCACCACAGCCAGTGGCTGCTCCTTGTTCCGGAGGAGTCCCTCTAACCTGCAGCACCACTGCCAGGGCGGACTGGGGAAAGGACCCCGATAAGTGCCCTCAGCTTGCCAAAATGCCACCACCAGCCTCCCCTCCCCTCTGGAGATGGCCCAGGACTGGGCGGTTGGGGGCCGGTCCATTGAGAAGAGCCCCATCTGCACTCCTCCACAGACGAGTATCACTGGCCTCTGGGTTATCGGAACTGCTATCTGCGTTTCACCCCCACAGCACTGGGCAATGGGAGCAAAAAGATCATACAAGAATCTTCATACCCCCCCATAAGGCCTGACAGAGTAGAACCCAAAAACTGTTGAATGGATGAATGCACAAATGAAGAAATGGGTGTAGCCAAAACCAGTTTGGCTCAGTGGATAGAGCATCGGCCTGCGGACTAAAGGGTCCCGGGTTCGATGCTGGTCAAGGACGTGTGCCTTGGTTGCAGGCACATCCCCAGTGCGGGGAGTGCAGGAGGCAGCTGATCGATGTTTCTAAGTCTCTTTCCCTCTCCTTCTCCCTTCCTCTCTGTAAAAAATAAATAAATAAATAAATAAATAAATAAATCAATAAAATATATATTTAATTTTAAAAAAAGAAAGAAATGGGTGTATCTGAGCATACCCAGGCAGAACTTTCCATCTTCCACCTTAAAAAGATCAGACTTGTTCTATTGCTAAAGCTCCTCCTCCTGACCCTTAAGAGATTGCAGAGGCCAGCGACCTTCAGAGTCAAGAGGCTAATTTTTCTTTGTCTAATCTCATTTCTCCCTGTGTAACCTCAGTGCAGTTTTCTTCTCATCTGCCTCCAGAGCCCCTGGGACTGACATGGATTTCTTTGTGAGGAGAGACAATTACTAATTTACCCTTTAGCCTTCTGGGCAACAAATTTGATCCCGGGCCCTTTATTGTTCCCGCTCTGGGGCCCTGGGGCCCTGCCCTTTCCCTGTTCACTGCTCCTCGGCTGTTTGCCAAGCTCTCAACGGCCTCCCTCGGCTGGCTGTCGAGGTAGGAATGGGACATGCTGTTCTCCCCGCACAATCTCAGATGCTCACACACCCACCACACAGGACGCTCGCCTCTCTGCACCCGCAGTCCCCGGTCCTCAGTAAACACATGCTCACAGGCAGCTTCCGTTCGCCATCATAGACTCACCTCACACACCTGGACACCCGCTCACAGGTGCAGGAGTAAACCGCACAGAGAGGCCAGCCAAACGAGGTGGGGCTGCTGAAGCCCTCCCTCGGCCTCCCTCCCCTTTCCCTGAGCCACAAAACCCCGAGCCTACTTTCTCCCCACCTCTACGGTGATTTTCCGCTTCAAGGCTGAAGGCAGAGTCAATGAGCCAAAGTTGGCTCCTCTCTCTTCCTCCTGCCCTCCTCCCGCTGACCCCAAATCCTCAGGGCACCCTGCATTTGCCCAGGGCAACACCCCCTCTCCATCCCCTTCCCAACCTCCGCTCCTCTGGCTGAAGGGAGTGCTGGCCTCTTGGGTTCTTAGCTTTTGGAAAGTAATGTGGGGAAGCACTGGTTGCTGAGGCAGGAGGGCTGCTGAGACCCTGGGCTGGCAGGGCAGTGGGCCACCGGCCCAGGGGACTCAGGCACAGGAGCGCAGGGGGATTCCCATTCATTCAGCACCTTTGGTCACACACACACACACACACACACCCCACCGACACACACACACACACACACACACACACCACCGACACACACACACACCGACACACACCGACACACACCGACACACACATACACCCCACCAACAGACACACACACACACACCCCACCGACACACACACACACACACACACCCCACCGACACACACACACACACACACACACACACACACCACCGACACACACCGACACACACACACACATACACCCCACCGACAGACACACACACACACACACACCACCGACACACACCGACACACACATACACCCCAACAGACACACACACACACACACACACACATACATACACCCCACCAACAGACACACACACACACACAGCCTCTCTTCTTGCTGAGCCTAGGAGGGCACAGATTTAGCCAGGTTGACCTGGGCTCGGATCCCTGTCCCCCCACTAAGTGACCTTGGGCAAATGTCTGACCCAGTGTGCTCATGAAGAAACAAAAGGAGGAAATACAGGAGCATCCACCTCTGGACTATTGTCAGAATCCGAGGGTAGAAGACTGGTTCTCTCCGGCCTCTGTACCATGCTGTCCCATGAACTTGTGTGGCAGGTGGCCAATCATGGGCTGCTTTTTTAGTATAAATATCCGTGAATTCAATGCTTTTTCTGTAATGACGTCACTCCCGGTGGCATTCCACAAAACCTTCCAGAATGGGAGATAAAGGGGGTGGAGGGGTGGCTAGCCCCAGGGAATCAGCTCAGAGGCGGCAGCCTATCTTATCTTCACCATGGCCCAAGGATAAGGTATTTGCAAGTCTTTGCAGTTGGCATGCAAATCCCATCTTCTAGCCAGTGTGGGCAGACAGGCTGAGGCACTGGGCTGGCTGCTCCTGCACAAACAGCCCTGGCAAGGGCCTTCCGCACAGTAGGTGCTTCTTGGCAGAGGGAGCCACAGTGGGGCAGGGGGATGGTGGGAGAAGACACTAGGCGGAGAGGGGGCTTTCCCCTCCTAAGGAAACAGATGTGTAGACTAGACCAGGCCCCTGAGCTGGCTGATTGGTGGGGGACCTGATGTGGGAGGCTGGCCCAGGGTCTCTCAACACAGAGCCTGCTGGGAAGGCCATGGAGTACACAGGGGTTAGGAACTAAGGGTGGAACATTCACGCCTGGGGGAGAGCTAGGAGTGCAGAACAGCCTGACCCCAAAACCGACCATCTTGGTCTGGAAGGGAAGCTTGCTGCCAGTCTGGCCCCAGCCTGCAGCTCTCAACTTCATGGGATAGATCAACAAGGCTTCCTCCTTCCAGCCGTCACCACCAACTCTCTGCTCACTCCTCAGCTCCCCACCATTTCACCGTGGAAACCCCAGGTAGGGCCCCCAGCTAACCTGGCCACCTTGCCCTGGGCCTGCAAGAGTGGCCTCCCCCCCGAGACCTGCCAGCACCCAGGGCTGTACCAGCCACCAGCCCCCCTCCTGCAGTGCCCGAGAAGCTGCCGGCTGGCAGGAGCCCAGCCAGAAGCACCTGGACGTACTGCCCAATTCCTGGGGTAGGTCAAGGCCCCGTGCCCTGCCGACACTGCCCACATACTCTGCATGATGGCTCCCCGCCCAAGAGGAGCTGAGAGGGCCTATCCCTTCTCAACCCCAACCTCCCTCACCTAAACCAAAAGGAAAAGACGAAGGGAATCGAAGATGAGGGTAAGGATTGTAAGCTTTCACTCAAAAACCTCCCGGATATTCTTCAGTCTTGCAGTCCCCCCCACCCCACCCCATAATTCCTCTCCAACAGTGGGCTCAGGGACCCCACACACAGCCAGCCAGAGACCGTCCATAAAAAGGGAGATTCTTTATTCAAAATCAGCACTCAGATTCTTCCAGCCCCAACCCAGAGGGGGCAGCCCTCCCTCCCCTCTCCCCTCCCCCGCCCCTTAGCCACAGCGAGGGGAATGGAAAATGAGAAGCCAGGAGGGCCTCTGCCAGGGCAGGCTGCCTCCAGTGTGTGGTGAGCCCAGGCCAGCTGTGGCAGGGTGGCAGCTGCCACGGACCCCTCCCTATAAATTAAGTCTCTGCAGCCACAGCGGGGGGAGGCATGTTTGTGGAAGGCAGGCCCAAAGGCAGCGTCGCTGACCCCAGCCATGGAATGATCGAGAGGTCAGGGGAGGAGAGGTATGGAGGAGGAGGAAGATGCCCTAAATTTTGGTCCCGGGGTCGGGGGAGGGAGGGGAGAAGAGGCCAGTTGGTCCAGTTTCTGTGTGATTGGAGGAGGGAATGTATTAGTAAGCACAGGGGGAGGCCGCCATTGGGCGCCACTGGGCACCCCAGAGGAGAGAGGCCAGGCCAGGCCCTCCCCCTGGCAGAGAGGAGCCGGAGGGCTGCAGGGGTTCTTGGGAATGTCACTGCTAAAATATATCTCTCTATATATTAACCATCCGGGGAGGGCAGGAGCAGGGCTGGGAGCGGATCAGAGGATCTGGCGTGGCATCCCATAGCCGGTCATGCCCGCCTGCGACGCCCCGCGGTTGGTGCCCATCTGTAACCCAATCACGTTCTTGCCCTCCTGCAGCTGGTTGTCTGAGAAGTTCCGGGGGTTCTCCTTGGACTTCCTAGGTGGAGAGGGAGGGTTGGTGAGGAGGAGGTTGAGGCTGTCCCAGTAAAGTCCTCCTGGACAGAGAGCATTGCCAGCTCTGTCCTTGAGCTCTCTGAAGCCACCTCCTCACCCCTCCCATGGAGTCCCGGACCAGAGGATGAAGTAAACGAAGAAGGTCAAAGTACTTTGTGCCCTAACCGGTTTGGCTCAGTGGATAGAGCAACGGCCTGCGGACTGAAGGGTCCCAGGTTCGATTCCGGTCAAGGGCATGTACCTTGGTTGCGGGCACATCCCCAGGAGGTGGTGTGTAAGAGGCAGCTGATCGATGATTCTCTCTCATCGATGTTTCTAACTCTCTATCCCTCTCCCTTCCTCTCTGTAAAAAATCAATAAAATATATTTAAAAATAAAATAAAGTCCTCTGTAAAGGGCCAGCTGCTTCCTGGGGGCAGGAGTGGGCAGCCCCAGCCATACTCACTTAGGGAACCAGTTGGGGTCCCCGGAGAAAAGGCCGTCCTCCCGGGCCACCGCCAGCCCGCCCAGGTTCATCAGCGTCCGCTGCACGCAGGCCATGTTCTTTCCTGGGGAGGACAAGGGGGCGTCGGCCTCAGCAGAGGTCCTGGGTGCCTGGGCTCCACCTGCACCCCTAAGCCAGCAGGCCCAGCTTCCAAATTCTTCTCCTCTTCACCCCCATCCCTTTTCCCACCCCAGCCCCCAGCATGGTCAGCTCCACATAAGATGCATATATGTGCGAGGGCGCACACGTGTGAGTGCATACACGTGCAAAACACACGTGCGAGGGCACACAGGTCTACTCGGCCACACCCCTGTGTGTCCTCAGAACGCCAGGAACCTGCCCCATCCCCCTGGTTAAGATGGCCGGCCGGGTCTCTGGTCCCCTGGATGAGGCGCCGTGGCCCCGCCCACCTTCCCAGAGGTCCACCGTCTGGAAGATGTCGGTGGTGTTGATGCCGTAGCGCTCGGCTGCTTGCAGGAACTGGGAGATCTGCTCCATCTGCTTGAAGGCCATGGTGGAGGCCTGGATCTTCTTCACGGGGCCCTGCCCCTCGGGGTACAGCCCGTTGATGAGCTCACACAGCACCTGGGAGGGAGGGGAAGGCAGCAGGTGTGGAGATGAGGTCACGCCCACGGAAGAGCAGCAAGCTCCACCCTCAGGCCAGAGGCAGTGACCACAGGTTTCTCTCCCACTGACCACACCCGAGTCAGCCTCAGGCTCCTGCCAGGCCACCTCTGCGGTCAGAGTGAAAACCTCGATGTCTTAATATCAACAGTTCCTCCCTTAGAGCATCTGGTGTCACCTAGGGCCTTCCATGGCAGAGGCCCATTCACTCTCACACACACACACACACACACACACACGCACACGCACACATATGCACACACACACACACACACACGCACACATATGCACACACACACATATGCACACACACACATATGCACACACACAGGCTCCCCTCCGCTCAGTGCGAGGGAGGGAGTGTGCATCCTCTCTCCAGGCTCAGGAAGAAGTCGGGTCGGGAATGCCCTCATTCTCCGGGTGAAACAATCCCTGTCCCCAGGCCCGGCCCTGCTCTCCCAGCACTCCGGTCAGAGGGGCCCAGCTCTCACCGTGCCATCCTTGAGCCAGTTCTGGAAGTTCTCCCGCCCGGGCTGGGGCCGGCCCACGTCCTTGCGGCACTGGGTGGTGATCCACTGGATGAGGATCTGCTCCAGGTCTGCGTCGTACTGCTTCTCGATCTTCTGCTGCACCTCCCGGCTCAGGCCGTAGGCGGGCCCCCTGTTGGCCATTCTGAAGGGCGGCGGTGGCTGTGGGGAGCTGGGAAGGGGGCACACCCAAGCCTTCGGTCAGCGCTCTGAAGGCCGTGTGTGGGGCGGGGGGCTCTGCCTGCCAGGACACACATCACACCCCCGGGGCGGCTCCCGGAGGTGAGGACAGCTGCCGAGGGAGGGAGCGCTCATCACTGCTCAGAGCTCCGCCACCCAGGCCACCTTGGGTTCCCATCCCCGTGCCATGCGCTCTGTCTATTATTAAGGCTTCCACTAAGTTTCATTTAAGTGGTTCCACTACTAAAATGAAATGTAAAGCCCACGGGAATAGAATAAAGGGGTAAAACAAGGTCAAGAGAGGGAGGTTAGCCCCCGGTTTGGGATGGTAAGTTTTAACAAAGGCAAACTAGTCATTCTAATCCCAACCCTGCTTTTTTAAAAATATATATTTTATTGATTTTTTTTTACAGAGAGGAAGGGAGAGGGATAGAGCTAGAAACATCGATGAGAGAGAAATATCCATCAGCTGCCTCCTGCACGCCTCCCACTGGGAATGTGCCCGCAACCAAGATACATGCCCTTGATTGGAATCGAACCTGGGACCTTTCAGTCCGCAGGCTGACGCTCTATCCACTGAGCCAAACCGGTCTTGGGGCAGCCCTGCTTTTTTCAGGCCTGGGAAGAAGGATTTGGGAAGGAGAAAGAAGGGAGAGTGGCGTGGGAAGCCTAACTGAGCACCCACACTCTGTGCGGAAATTGTACAGCAGAAGTCGCTCCTCCTGACGTTGCCCAGGTACCACCAGAGACAAAGTGAGCACACATTCGAGGGCAAGGGTTGTACACGACAAATACCCAACTACACAGCCAGACCCTATGTTGTAGGAATGCAGAAAAGCGTATGGGCAGGAGCAGCTTGTAGGGCTTCCTGGAAGAAGCAGGGCAAAAGGAACAACTGCCCAGGAGAAGCTAGGCAATAAAAACAAATTTTAGCCCTGGCCCGTTTGCTCAGTGGTTAGAGCAGCAGCCCTCGGACCCAAGGATCTCGGGGTCCATTCCCAGTCAGGTCAAGGGCACACACCCTGGTGGCAGGTTCCCCAGCTCCCATAGGGGCGTGGGCAGGAGGCAACCAATGGATGTGTCTCTCCTGTATTGATGTTTCTCTCTCTCTCTCTCTCCCTCCCCCCCTCCTCCTTTCCTTCCACTCTCTCTAGAAATTAATGAAAAAATTATCTTCGGTGAGGATTAAAATAAAATTCTACTAGGCAAAATAATGGTGCCCTCAAAGGTGTCTATGTCCTACTTGTGAATGCGGCCTTGCATGGTACGAAGGGATTCTGCAGGTGTGATCGAAACAAGAATCTTGAGGGGAGTACCTGCACCATCCAGGGGGCCCAGTCTCCTAGGAACAAGGGTCCTCGTAAGCAAAAGAGGGAGACAGCCGAGTCCGAGTTGGGAGAGTGAGAAGGAAGCAGAGGCTGGAATATGGCAAGGTGACCTCGAAAAGGTGGAAAGGTTAAGAAATGGACTCCCATGCCCTCACCGGTTTGGCTCGGTGGATAGAGCGTCAGGCTGTGGGACTGAAGGGTCCCAGGTTCGATTCCGGTCAAGGGCATGTACCGTGGTTGCGGGCACATCCCCAGTGGTGGGTGTGCAGGCGGCAGCTGATCGATGTTTCTCCCTCATCGATATTTCTAACTCTCCCTTCCTCTCTGCAAAAATCAATAAAATATATTTTAGAAAAAGAAAAATGGACTCTCTCCTAAGCCCCCCCCCAGCAGCCCTCCCACCCCTGATGTCAGCCAGTGAGATCTTGGGTGGGACTTCAGAACGGTAAGACAGTAAACAGATGTTGCTTTAAGTCACGGAGTTTGTAGTAATTTGTTACGTCAGGGAACTCGTACAGGAGCCCTGGCTGGTATTTTTAGAGAAAGCCGGGAAAGAGGGAGGAACGGAGAAACACGCAGGAACTGAGTCTGAGGTTGGGAAGAGCTGGGTGGTTTCCTGATCCACGGCCTGAGTTGGCAGCACCTCGCTGAGTGTGGGCAGCGTGTTCCCATCCACCTCCTCGCTGCCTGGGTCCCACCCCCAGGGGCCCCGCGGCAACGCCACCGGTGCCAGGACCCCGTCCCCTCCCCGGGTGGGCAGCCGGCTGCCTGAGACAGAGCTAGCTGCCTGGCGGCTCCGAATTCGGGGTCCAGCGGGGTCCCCGGGACCCACACCTGTTCCCAGGGAGAGGAGGAGCCACTCCCGCCTATATCGGGCTCCGGGCCAGGGCAGACTTAAGGGATGAAGTCATCCGGCTCCCTCTCCCAGGCACCCCGGGCTGAACAATCCCCATCCACCACCCCCTCCGTGGGCTGAAGGCGCGGCCTCGGGACGGGACACGTCAGCAGGCCCCAGGGGCAGCAGCTGCCCCAGCCCTCTCACACCTCTCACCCCCCCCTGTCCTGTCTGGGGCCAGTCCCCTCTCGCCTCCCCCACCCTGCACCCACAGGGCAGCTCCTTTCCCCTGCAGCTTATCCAGCTGCACATTTCCGGCAGAGATCCTCCCCATAAATCAGTTATTTTTAAACCTCATTAAGGGCGAGCAACCCACCCCACCCCACTTCCCCCGGCCTGAAAGCTGGGCCAGATAAATGTCAGTCTGGGCCTTGACCCCACACAACCACACATACACACACACACACTCCGCTGGGGGAGGGCAGGTAGTCGAGTGGCCGAGGCCTGTGGAGAGGAGCCTGGATTTCCCCCAGACCAGCCCCATCGGCTCGGCCACCACTCAGTCTAGACCTGTGACCCCTGTCGCCCGGGGGCAGGGCTGGACGGGACGCCTGGGAGGAAGGGAGGGGGCTGGAGGCTATTGTCCTTGCCCAGGAATCCGCCCTTCCCCAGCCCGAGGTCCAGACCTCTCTTCTGGGGGCAGCTTCCCTATTATGACTTGGGGGCCGCTCAAGGCTGTGTCTCCACGGGCCTCACGCCCGGGGATCACAGTGGCCCGGAGAGAAGAAGCGCAGAAAAAGGATCAACCCACACCCCGGGGTTAGGGGAGGAGAGCAGCCCGGAGCCTGACCCTCCCACCGCAGGCCACTTCTGGACACGGGTGGGTTCTGAGGGCCCCTCCCCCAGCCTGGCGCCTGGACACAGCTGTCAGGGTCTCAGCCTCCAGCTACAGGATCCAGGCTCCACTGCCCTAGAACCCTGAGGTGCCAGTCACAGGGCAGAACTCCAGGAAGGGGCAGGCCCAGCCGCGCCAGGCTGTGGCAGCTGGCTCTCCTCCCCGCCCCACACCAGCAGGCGAGGGCAGATGGGCCGTGGCTGCTGGCGCAGGAGTGGCCCACCCTGGTGACACCCACAGGCCCTACTGCTGCCCTCCCTCCAAGGAAGGGGAGGTGGCCAGATGCCTGCTGGGCTGGGGAGAAGCTGTGGGTGAGATGCCCAAGCACAGGCCCCAAAGGAAAAACGACAGCAGAACACGACTTGGAGGGGAAGTGGGGGGAAGAGGTTGGCTGCAAGTAACCTAACCTGGAGACCTGCCTACATCTGTGGGAGCAGCCCTGCAGCCCCACGCAGGAGGGCACGTTCGCTGGGAAAGGAGCAGAGGCCACAGGCCCTCAGCCCTGCCCAGACCCCGGGCTGGAAGCTTACCTCACCTCCCAGGCCAATGCCAAGGAGAAGGCGGATGCGGGGTGGGGGTGGGGAGACTCAGGGTTCCTGGAGGTCTCACTGGCAGGACAAAGGGACTCTCCATTCTTGGTGCCGATAAGGCCGGGGGACTTCCCAACTCAGAAGTGGGACAAAGGATTCCAAAGGGAGTCCCTGTCCCCAGAGCAAAGTGCCCCGTGGAACAAGCAGAAGCGAGAACGGTGGGAAACCTAGCGCGGGGGTCAGCCCCTCACCAGGAGCCGGTGAGCAGGGGCGAACACAAGCTCTTACAAACAGGAAGCCGCAAGGCCTGCAGGAGGAGGGGGGGTGGGGGAAGTTGCCATAGCTTCTGTGTACCAAACAGGCACAGGCACAGGTCAGGGTGGGGGCACCCGGCACAGGGGCGTGGCCAAGGCTCCGGGCAGCGGGCAGAGGTGGGTCCTTGCGAAAGAGGCCGCCTCGCCTCCCAGCAGCTGTCGGGCACAGCCAGGTGCAAGCCGGGCCTCGAGCAGGCGGCTGGGGGCGCAGGGCGCACCTGGCGGAGGAGGAAGTCTGCGCTTGGGGCAGAGAAGCAGCTCCACAATGTGGTTCCGGTGAAGAAAACATGCCCTGGGATCAGAGCTGGACTCTGAGCTAACACCCCACACCTGACCCCTCCGGTGGGGAGGAGAGGAGCGGGGAGAAGGGATCAGGGGCCAATCCCGGGGTGGGAGGGTTGGGGGGGGGGGGCGAGGGGCAGGCAGGCGGAGGGAAGGAAGAGGGGGTTTGCAGGGAGACTGCTTGGTTCTGGGGTGCCCGGACCCTGCTGGCCCGCCCTCCCTCGGGCTCCCCTGCAGCTTAGCTCATCCGCTTGCACTAGGGGTAGACACGGGGGGAGGGGACTGAGCCAGGGCGATGGCCCTGTGTCTGGTGCCCTGGAGAGCCCCCCTCCCCGGGTGCCCCCCTCCTGCACGGCCTCCGCTGCAGCTCCCCCTCCTCTCCACCCTGCCTTCTGGAAGCCCCCGGATCCCAGGCTCCCCCAGGACTTCCCCGGCCCGGGCTCCCTCCCGGGGGCTGCAGGGCGGGAAGGCTGCGGCCACTTCCGGCCCCGGGTCCGGCCCCCTCCAGGCCACACCCTGGGCCGCGGCGGCCGCGGTGAGTCAGGCCCCGGCTCGGGGGTGACGCAGCGGTCTGGGCAGCCCGCCGGCCCCCCGAGCAGCGGGAGGCGCGGGGTGCGGGCCTGGGCGCCCGTAGGCGCGGGAGCGGCCGCCCCTCCCGCTGGCAGGGCACCCAGCGGGCGCGGTCCGGGCTGCAGCCCCCCGGTGCCCGCGCTAGGGGGCTCCCCTCCCGCCCGCGCCCGGGAGGGAGAGGCCATCGTGGGGCCGCCGGAGCGCAAGCCCGTGACCCCGAGTCCCCAGGAGGCACCGCAGGGCTGTCCCGGGGCGCGGGCGGCGCCGCACGTGTCCGGGACCAGGAAGCGCGGCCAGTGCGGGGCCGCGGAGCTGCCCCGGGGCCCGGGGTGGGCGCGCCGTCGCTTGGACAGCTAACCCGTCTCAGACGCCCCCCCCCCCTGCCGCCCCCGAGGAGACCCGGGGGGAGCTGCGCGTGGGGTGCACACCCCGAGCCCCTGATCATGGCAGATGCCCCCCCACCCCCTCGTCTGTGCACCGCAACAGGCCTGACCTCATGGCCCAGCAATGCCGGCCGGGGCTGGGCAGACCCTGACAGCGCGGGCGACGCGGCCATCGGACCCTGGCCCCCCAGCCTCGGGTCCTCAGCCTCCGTGCAGCTGGTCGCCAACGGGGCTTCTCGCTTTCTAGAAAGTTCTCCCTGCACCCCGAGCACAACCCATTAAAAGAAACCTCCTTACCGTCGGGCGGGCAGGAGAGCGCGCACGCGGGCGGGGCTGCAGGGCGAATGGGTCGCAGGGGCTGGGCCGGGGGTTTTCAGCGGCTCCCGCCTCGGACGGGGCGGACCCGGGGCGGGGCGAGGCCAGGGAGGGTTTAAAGGCGCAGTAGCGAGAGCCTCGGACCAGGGTTAGAGGGGAAGGAAGGACTGTGGGTGGGACCACGGTTACAGGATCCTGGAGTCGGGGCCTCCTAGGGCAGCTAGGGCAGCGGCCTTCACCCAGGACCACCTGTACCCCAACCCTGGAGCCAGGAGGGGCGTGCCACAGTGAGCTAACTGCCTAGGTTAGCTCAAGACTTGGGCCAGTTTATGTGGGGGAAATCCTCTTGGTTTAAAAAGGGTGGTTAGGTCCTAGCCGGTGTGGTTCAGTGGACAGAGCGTCAGCCTGTGGACTGAAGGGTTCCCGGTCCCATTCGGGTCAAGAGCACATGTCCGGGTTGCAGGCTCCATCCCCAGTTGGGGGTGTGCAGAAGGCTGCTCCCTCATCATTGATGTTTCTACCTCGCTCTTCCTCTCAGAAATAAGTTTAAAATATATATATTTAAAGAATAAAACACAATTTTAAAAAAAAATAGGTGGTTATGACCTGGTTGGCGTGGCTCAATGGTTGAGCATCAACCCATGAACCAGGAGGTCACGGTTGGATTCCCAATCAGGGCACATGTCCGGGTTGCAGGCTCGATCCCCATTGGATGGGATGTGCAGGAGGCAGCTGGTCAATGATTCTCTCTCATCATCGATATTTCTCTCTCTCTAGCCCTCTCCCTTCTTCTCTGAAATAGAAATATATTTAAAAGGGTGGTTAGGTAAACCGAGGCACCGGAAAAATATCCCTCCCCCCTCGCTGACTGGGGTGTGACAGGACTGGGGCCGACAGGCCATGACAGCACCGGCTCGTCAAGCTGAGACAGGAAAGCTCAGTGAGGTCATTGCTTGTGGTGCCCAAGGAGTGGGATCCATCCGCCCTGCAACCCAGGGTTCAGACCTGGCCATGGCTGTCAGTGCTTCTGGGCGTGGAGGAGAGCAGTTTGGGGGCTCACAGAATGCTCCCCCCTTTCTGGCAGAGTCCCCACTTACATCCGTGTGGTAGAAGCCAGTTTCACCTGGTTCTCAAGGTCATCCACCATCGTCCTTCCACCTATCTGTGCTCTCCTCCCCGATCCTACTCAGGCCTGCATTCCAGGGCCTCGGGTCATTCCCTGGAAGCCAGTCGACGTGCCTTCATGCAGGCTGTCCCTCCGCCTGGGGTGCTTTTCCTCCCTGACTCATCCTCACCTGCTCCCCCCACACTCACTGTTTGTTCATTTCAGGTCCCTAGTCCCGTGGTCAGCAATCTAAGGCACTACAGCCACCTGCGGCTCTTTGGCCCCTTGAGTGTGGCTCTTCCACAAAATACCATGGCCTGGGCGAGTCTATTTTGAAGAAGTGGCGTTATAAGTTTAAGTTTAATTTTTTTAATGTATTTTATTGATTTTTTACAGAGAGGAAGAGGGATAGTTAGAAACATCGATGAGAGAGAAACATCCATCAGCTGCCTCCTGCACAACCCCCTCTGGGGATGTGCCCGCAACCAAGGTACATGCCCTTGACCGGAATCGAACCTGTGACCTTTCAGTCCCCAGGCCAACGCTCTATCCACTGAGTCAAACCGGTTTCAGCAAGAAGTTTAAAAAAATTGGCTCTCAAAAGAAATGTCAATCGTTGTGCTGTTGCTATTTGGCTCTGTTGACTAAAGAGTTTGCCGACCGCTGGCCCAGTCTAACAGGACTCCCTGCCTCCCTCAGTGTAGAGAAGTATCGTATTTTTCGGACCATAAGACGCACCAGTTTTTAGAGAAGGGAAATGAAGAAAAAAAGATTCTGAAAGAAATAGTGTCCTAAAATATTTTATGTGCATTAAAACCCAACATCACAGTCATAAACACATGTAATCAACCCTGTAAAGTAAACAGCAGCATTTAGAACCATTTAGAACCATTATTAACAAATACAGTCAGCAAAAGACAAAATGTACTGTAAAACACAATAACGAGAGACTTCAGTAATAAATTAGAATAAAGTTGAAGATTTATGGTAAAGGTTCTGCTTGTTTTATGAGAACCCCAAGAACTCCTCATCGCTAGAGTCAGAATATTGCCTGTATACCGTATGCAGAGACTTTCTGTGATTTAGCAATAACATTTACGGTACTGTGTAAAACACTTTCCAGCTTCTCACAAGGCTAAAAGCTGTCAGCAAAGTTCAGTGTTACCACTACAATGTGTAAACCCATAAATCATGCAGAGACTTTCTATGTTTTCTTTGCATAGTTTATGGGTATCTACACATTGTAGTGGTGAGAGAAGAGGCTGGAGAGTGTTTTACATTATGGTAAATGTTATTGGTTTGGTATCACAGAAAGTCTCTGCATACAATATACCGGTATGGAGTTTGTTGCAGTACAAACATTTTGACAGTTACCGGTATAATAGTATGAAGAGAAATTCTGACGTAGCGGCGTTATCAATCAGGGCATCCAGCGGAGGGCGGAGTTTACCGGTGGGCGGAGATCTACAGTACGCCTACCCAGTAGTCAAGCATGGCAACAGAGGGCGGACAGGAATGATTGGGGGAATAGACACGGCATTCTTCCGGGCACGAAGTACGGGCCAGCAAGGGGTACAGGCGATGATTACGGTTTGGATTACGCAGTGACCGTACACCGCACCTGGGCTGACATGGAGATATGGCTGCAGCGAGGGCATGGAGGCTGACTAGCATACATGGGAACTCCTCTACCACTCGGGGTTTACAGAGCGGGCAGACACTCTGGGCACGGAGGAATGGACAGTGGCTGCAGCAAGCACACAGAGCCGGGCAAGCACACAGAGACCACACAGAGCCGGGCAAGTAAAAAAAACTTTTTTTTTAAAGTATATGTGTAGGCTATATTTGGACCATAAGACACAGGGACTTTCCCCCCCCCACTTCTGGGGGGAAAAAAGTGCGTCTTATGGTCCGAAAAATACGGTAGCTGCTACAAGCACGGCTTGGAGAGCAGTGCCTACAGGTCGGGGTGCCCAGCTTTAGCTTCTTTGTTCCCACTGGGAAAGCTCTGAGGATCCCCCACAGGACGCCTCGGTCCCCGCACATGCTGTAAGCGCTCCGGTTCACTCCTTCCTTTGTGCCGCCACAATCACCACGGCCTCGCTTTATCAGGCACCCATCGCATCATGCTCTAGCTATTTCTCCCGTCTGCCTCGCCGACTGAGAAAGAACCCAAGGGCAGGGCTTGACTTGGTGAACTCTGTTTTCTCAGCATTCTCGGGGTGGCTGCTCTGTGGCAGCCGACGTCAGTAGGCGCTCCATACGTGCTTTCTGAATGGATGTTGAATGCTCTTCCATTCATTTAGGAAGAATGCCCTCCTTTCAAGGGTTCGAGATTCCCCCCTCCCTCTCAGATTCCAAGTCAGACAACATAGAAAACATTTTCCAGACGTTCTTTATTCACCTGTATAAAACCTCACCCACACCACGAACCACACTCACACACACACACACACACACACACAGGCCCACCGGCAGACCTAGGATCCCTGCTCTAGTCCCCAGGCTCAGCACACACATCCCACACCACGCCCACCCCAGCCCACCATCAGGGTGTGTGCCTGGGCCTCAGGGGCAGGGGCAGTTTCCAGGTGGAGCTGGGTCTGGGTGGGGCCTCCTTCGCGGGGTCCCTGCGCCTTCCCGCTGCCCCACAGGAGGGTGCTCACAGCAGAGTGGCCTGTTCGGGGTGGGGGGCCGGCTGTCGGTAGGCAGGGAGCCAGGCCCTGGCGGCGTCGCGGCGGCGGCGGAAGGCCAGGAACTCCTCCCGGAGGGCAGCACAGCGGGCCTCAGGGCCCGGAGCCGGGGCGGCGCCCAGGAGGCAGCCCACCTCTGGAGTCTTTGCACCTGCCGGAGGGGGAGGGGGGCAGAACAAGGGGGGGACACGGCCTTGAGGTTCACTGGCACCCTGAGGCTCCCCAGGGCCTGCAGGTCACATGACCCCAGGGGGCAACCGGGAGCGGGTGGGTCCTGAGGCTGCGGGTGGTGGGACGGCAAGGCCAGGAGCGCCTGCTTTCCGGAGGGCTCGCACACCTAGCTCTGGCTCCGCGTCAGGTCCGGGCCGGGGGCCCGACAGGCCCAGGCACAGGGTCTCCAGCAATTCCATGTCCCCAGGGAATTCCGAGTCCCACTCATAGTTCTCGTCCACAGATGTGTCCCTCCTGTAAAGAGACAAATGTGGGGGTCGGAGGTGGGGGGTTTGAGGGTGGCCATCTCCCGAATTCCAGCCATAGAGGGAGCGGAGCAGAGAAGGCAGGTGTCAGGAGAGGCTGGGGAGACAGTCGGAGATGAGATGACGGCAGGAACAGGCAGGGACCACCTCACCTCCCCCACCCCCCCCCCCTTTTTTTTTTTAATATATTTTATTGATTTTTTACAGAGAGGAAGAGAGAGGGATAGAGAGTTAGAAACATCGATGAGAGAGAGACATCGACCAGCTGCCTCCTGCACACCCCCTACTGAGGATGTGCCCGCAACCAAGGCACATGCCCTTGTCCGGAATCGAACCCGGGACCTTTCAGTCCGCAGGCCGACGCTCTATCCACGGAGCCAAACCGGCTTCGGCTGCCTCACCTCTTGCTGACGGTCACCACGTGCTCCCTCCGCGGCCACCGCTCGGGGCCGCTGGCCCAGCTGCTGGTGTCTCCGGGAGCAGGGCTGAGGTAGCTGCCCCCGGCCGAGGCCGAGGGGGCGGTGGAGGGCGGCCGCAGGAACGAGGCGCTGCCCCGCCCGCTGCTCTGGCTGGTGAGGCTGCCCCGGGGGGCGGCGGGCAGGGGGCCGGACAGCAGCCGCTCCCGCAGGGCCCAGTTGGCCAGCGCCGTGCACGGGCCCTCGGGGGCAGCCCCGGCCCTGACCCCGGCCCCGGGAAGCCCCGCCCGGGGGGACGCAGGAGGGGAGTCCAGGGGCTGCAGGAGGGAGGAGGGCGGGCAGGGCCGGGTGTCCCTGTAATCTGGGGGTGCAGCAGAGGCAGGCTCCTCCAGAGGGGGCCAGTCGCCGTCCACGTTCATCTCCCGGAAGAAGGGCAGGCTCAGGT